AATGTTTACATATCAAAAGGCTATAGGCCAATTTCTGTCAAAATTACACATGAAGTTAAGCAGTACAAGCAATTTATTTAAACACTAGTCATTGTAGAAAAATTCAAAACCATATGCTCTTTTAGCAGTTTTTCACAAATGCATTTGACCCATGACTTGGCTAGACATACAAGCTTCATAATTTACTCTAAATTTCAAATCCCCCTGACGTTTAAATAAAAGATCTTCATTAATGAGGTTTACATGAATGAAAACTTTAGAAGCTGATCTCGGTTAGCGAGGGGCTTCGGGAACTGTCTGTGCACTCGCTCTAATTTTCAAATGACTGACTTCGCTAATCATTTCAAGAGAAAGTTCCACTGAGAACAAATTAGCGGCATTTGCATTCCGTGATTTGCCCGAGCAACGGTGCAGTCACTTTGAAACAAACTTTGGTAAATACTTCGGCTAAAAGCGGATTTCTGCAACCCTGGAAACCCAGGACTATTTTTTTTTTTCGGATGCTTTGAGAAGACGTCATTTTTCGATACCCTAATCTCCGCTTCCCCCCCACCCCAGTTATGTTGAATTTTCCTAACACCTCGATTATTTCGTCCTTCGAGGCTCAGGGCGCTTATTTGGAATGTTGCAAAACTTCCCGCAAAGTTTTACTTCCCTGCTAGTAAGTGTCCTTGTACCGGCTGAATGAGCTGTGTGAGCGCGCCGCCCTAAGCGAGGCCGCATCGACACCTGGAGCTGTACTCCACCCACCCAACCTCACACGGAAAACCCCCTGGGGCTACCGGAGGTGTCCTCCGCGGAGCAAGGCCGCGGACCGGGGTTTGAGCCCTGTTTTTGAGGCACTGGATTTTTTTTTTAAGCCCACCTACAAGCAATAAAGCCGATTTGCGCTGTGGAGACTGTACGGGTGTCAACGCGGTACACCCTCCGCAGCCCGGTCTGTGCCACTGTTCCTGATTCATCCGACCCAACTAATTTGCCCTTCCAGGGGGCTCCCTACCTTTGAAAAGGACACGCCGGCTCTTTGCACATGCCACAAAAAATCTTCTTAAAGGCATCCGATTACGAGCTGTGCTCTGTGACCCAGAGAGAGAGGCTGAAAGAATTAAGAAAAGAAAGTTCCTGAAACCGTAAGAAGTTGGGACCGCATATGCATTTTTTACAGCCATGGGTGCATGTGTGTAAGGACAGTGGGCGACAGTTTTCTCCCGGATGAAAGTATCTTGGGGCGGGAGGAGATACCCAGACGCACACTCCAAATTTGCGCACTCGGTTTTAAATCAACAAGCAATTTAGTCGGGGCTCTATGAATCAATTTGGCGATGACTGCGGAGCAAAAACGCTTTTGTGGATGCCGAAACGCGCATATACCTTACGCATCCGCAATCCGGTGATCTATTCTTTAATATATTAAAAATGAGGGCTATTACCGCGGCGACTGACTCTTCAACAAACACATTTTCATAGTCTGCTGGCATGGTGATTGCTTCGCGTGAAATCGTGTTTGGGTGATAATAAGTAAAATCAGCAGCGGCTCTACTGCATGTCGGACCTAAGCGCTTGCTGGCCGCCTCTGGACGCTCCCGGTCCTCCCATGCTGAGCGGTGCGTGCGCGTGGACAAACAATCCAAACAATCGCTTAGCAACACGAGGCAGGCAATTTGCGTGCGTTGCATTTGTTATTCGAATTGCGCCTGGCGGGGCCGGGCGATGATTGTTTGTTTAGCGCCTTGCGGACACTTGTGGGTTTCAGCCCCGCAGAGGACACAGCGCGCGCACCGCACCGCTCACCGCTTCCCGGCTCCCTCCTCCCCGCGGACACTGCGCAGCCTGCAGACGGAGGCGCAAGCGGGGTGGGGAGGCCCCTCCTTGCAGGCGGTGAGCTCCCTGAGACACTGAGTAACTGGAGTGGAGCTCCGTCTGGGTCCCCGGGACCTCTTCCCGGAAAGTCCCTTCTGCAAGAAGACAGAGCTTTCAGACTCCTTTTTCCTTATCTTGGACCCAGCTGATAGAGACCCTGCCCTGGGTGGGGGTGGGGACAGCATACACCTTTGCCCTCTGAAAAGAACTAGAAAAATGCCCCAAAGCCTACCCCGGGTGACAGTCACCTAGCCTCATTAATTCTCACGGTTTTAAGGGACCCGATGATTGTTGAAGTTGGTTCCATCAACTAAAAAAGTACCACGACCTAGAGAGGAGGGATGATCTGCAAGGAGGCAACGGTGGGTCTAGAACTCTGATGCTCAGACTCGCGGCACAGTGCTCTTCCTTCCAGGAATCGGAGGGTACCATGAGAGGGCTGCAGAAAAGCAAGAGGCGAAGTCCAGGGGTTTGCTAAATCTCATTATTAGAGAGAACACTGTACCAGGTGGAAAGAGGCAAGATGCTTGCGGGGCGGGGGGGTGGGGGGGGACGGCTGCGTTATTTAAAAACTGGAAAGCACTCTCAAAATTTGTGGCCGAAGTCTCTGCGCCTTGCTGTTCCCAGCACCTCTCCAGAAATGGACGCGGAATGTGCCGCGGGTTTGCCCTCAACGCTGCTGCCTCCGAGGCGCCCGGCTCAGCAGAGGCCTTAAAAGACCCACGCAGGCACGCGCGCAGGCGCTGCCCAGGGCGCCCAACCCCGGACACAAACGCGGCCAGAGTCGCGGCTGGAGTTGCGGCTGCTGTTGCCTCCCATCAATCGCCCTGCAGAATTAAACCCAGCAAAGGTTGGCGCGGAATGTGTGCCCGGAAACTGGCGATTTTTAAGTCTCCGGGAGCAAATGCCTCTATCCCTAGTTAGTGGCAAAGAGAAAGGGCTGCACTTCTTTCCCTAGATGTGACCTCTCTGAAGGACAGGGTCACACTCCATCCCCTGGGAGTGGTTTTTATAGTAAATAACAAAAATCGATTGCCTCCCCAAACTGAGACCCATGTCGGTCTCGCCCTAGTCTCCCCCTACAACTACTTCTTAGTCTGCTCAGCATTAGAAGCGAGGCTCCTGGGCCACGAGCGGATGGGCCCCACGGTGCAGAGTCCAGGAGGGGAGGCCTAGGAGAAGCGCCGCCGCCGAGTTTCTCGCCGCCCCTCCTGCGCGCCGCAGGCGGTGTGCGTCCCGGGCCGGACCAAACCCCCGCGCCGTCGCGCCTCTGACCCGGGAACAACAATTGACAAGTGCCTTTTCCCCTTTGCCCTGCCGTCCGGGAGGAGGCAGCCCACAGACGTGGCCTTCCTGAAGCAACACCAGACAAGTCTGCAGGGACCCCTGTTCATTAGCCAGAGAGCCACAGGGAGAAACTGGGCGTGAGTGATGAGCGGCCCTCCTTCGGGAAACCCGAGTTGCCCCCCAACCCGGCCCTCGGCGGTCTCGCTCGGGCATGGCACTACCTCCTTCCTTGAAGCGCCTGGGGGTGGGGGGTGCCGCCTGCGCGAAGGGCCGAGAAAGGACAGTTCTGCAAGACTGGGGCTTCACGCCGGGCCCGCAGGACCTCCGGGGCGACTTTCGTTCCGCGCGTACCGTCGCCTACCTTCTCGAAGGGCGCTCTGCCGCCTGCGCCCCGCGGTGGGCTTCGATGCGCCTAGCGGCGCCGGCGGTCGTGCAGCAGTGCCGTGCGCAGGATCCGGCACATCACCGCGGCCGCCTGCCCCGAGCAGAGTCCGGCTTGGGCCAGGCCGCCGGGGCCCCGGGATCCAGCCTGGGCTTGTTGGGCGAAGGACAGCTAGGTGGCCTGTCCCAGTCGGGGGACCGGCAAGACGCATGGGGGGAAAATTCGACTCAGCTGTTGGGGGAAGGGGTGAGGGATCCCCAAAGCCCCATTTTTGCATTGAGAACAAAAACAGTATGGGGGAGAAGACACCCCATTTCCAAAAGCAATGCTTACAAAAAAAGAGAAAAAATAAACACAAAACCTACCGGCACCCACACGGGGAGCAGCTGAAAGCACCGCTTCAGAATGCTGCTTTTGGTGGCGAATTTTAAATAGCGGCTGAATCTGGTATCCGCTGTGTAAGGGCCTACGGGTTCCTATGGTAGATTTCAGACCCAAAGTGACTGCAAATATATATATAATATATGCATGTACTTTAAGAACCACAACGCACCTCGTTCGTCGTTTTTGCCTTTGCAAATTTTGGCCTTTGCAAAAACAAAAGGGTTGGGGTGGGGTTAACCAGTTCCACTCGGGAGAAAACCTCAAGATAAAAAAAAAATAGAGGTGAAATTAGGCGGTGAGTGCTTGGGGGATCGGAGGAAGAGCGGAATCTTTAATCTTGCTTGAGAGGACGCAGCCCCTCGCATTTTCTAAAACAAAACAAATTCCGAAGCCAGGGGGAAAAGTAGCCTCAAAGTAAAACGGGCCACAATGAATTTGAGTTTCTTGCAGAGGAAATCGCACCCAATAATAGGACCCAATCTGAGAGGGGGAAAAAAAAAGGGTGGGGGCGGAGAGGTCGGGCGCAAGGAGTTGTTAACTGCGCCGCACAATGGAATTAATGAGATTAACCGGAGCAATTAGGACGCCCGCCCAGCTCGGCCGGCCCGCGGCGGGGCCGCTGAATGGGAAAGATTAGGTTAATTTCATTAATTTGCAATCCACAATCCCTTTTCTGGCCCCCCGCAACCCCCTCCCCTTGGCACCTCTCTCCCTCCCCCTTCCCTAAAGCCCCCCTCCACCCAAAGGAACCGAAAGGGCCAAATCTGGTTCTGTTTGTCATCTGCATATTACCAGGAACTAAATCCAGGATGACGTCGACTCAGTATAAAACCAACAAGAGATTCAGCTGGTCTAAACTCCGTCCTACCCGCGGGTTGAGTTCAGCGAACGCTGCAGCGAGGGGAGGGCGGGAGGAGGGCGAGCGGACGCAGGGGGCGGGGAGGGGCGCGGGGCTGCGCGCTCGCCCGCGCTCTCTTTCGGTTTGGTCGGCCGCTGGAGGAGAGAGGACCCCCCCACCCCGCCCCACTTTGAGGCTTTTTCCCCGGCGCCTCCCTGCCGCCCCCCGGTCCCCGCGCGGGGCTCGGGGATGCCCGCCAGCATGTTCAGCATCGACAACATCCTGGCCGCCCGGCCGCGCTGCAAAGACTCGGTGCTGCCCGTGGCGCCCAGCGCAGCGGCTCCCGTCGTCTTCCCGGCCCTGCACGGGGACTCGCTCTACGGCGCCGGCGGCGGCGCCTCCTCGGACTATGGCGCCTTCTATCCGCGCCCCGTGGCCCCCGGCGGCGCAGGCCTCCCGGCCGCGGTCGGCGGCTCCCGCCTCGGCTACAACAACTACTTCTACGGGCAGTTGCACGTGCAGGCGGCGCCCGTGGGCCCGGCCTGCTGCGGGGCCGTGCCGCCCCTGGGTGCCCAGCAGTGCTCCTGCGTCCCGACGCCCCCAGGTAGGGTCGCGCCCTCGCCGGCCTTCTCCGCCCGCCTCGGTCCTCCGTCCCCAGGGCGCGGGTGGTCGGCGGCGCGTGCCATTTTCACTTTGCGCAAACTTTTCTCCTTGCGAAAATAAACTTTCCCCACCCTCCTCGCCCTCTTTTTTTTTTTTTTTTAACCGATCGGGCACGGGGGAGTGTACACTTGCTGCAAACTTTAGGCGAGAGTCAGCGGAAACTGTAACTTAGTGCCTGCATGGGGAGGCGAGGCTTCTGGGATCCCCCCCCCCCAACTGGCTTGGCGAGTGTGCGCGTGGACGCTCCAACACGCCTCTCCCGTTTCCCGGCTTCGATTTCCGCGCACCCCCAGTTCCTGGCACCCCCTTGCAGAGGATTTCCCAGTCGGAGTGGGTCGCGGGCAGGCCGGCTGGCGCAGTGGCGAGGAGGGCGGCTGACCGTGCGCCCTACTTTGTCGCAGGCTACGAGGGCCCCGGCTCGGTGCTGGTGTCCCCGGTGCCGCACCAGATGCTGCCCTACATGAACGTGGGCACGCTGTCGCGCACGGAGCTGCAGCTCCTCAACCAGCTGCACTGCCGGCGGAAGCGGCGGCACCGCACCATCTTCACCGACGAGCAGCTCGAAGCGCTGGAGAACCTCTTCCAGGAGACCAAGTACCCAGACGTGGGTACCCGCGAGCAGCTGGCCCGGAAAGTGCACCTCCGCGAGGAGAAAGTGGAGGTGGGCGCGCCCGCCGGCCGTTCCCGGCGAGATCGGGGCCCCGCCGGGCTGGCCCGGTTCTGCTCGGGTCTCCCTGAACTTGAAAAACATCCCGTGGAGGCGCGGAGGCTGCTGGAGGGCGCTTCAGGCCCAGGAAGTTGGATGGAAATGCGGAAGCGGGAGCGAGTCTCGGGCCCTTCTGGGGGCGCGCGCGCGGGGTCCCTGGGTTCAGAGCCCACGCTCGCGTCACGCGCGGCCACGGAGGGCCCCGGGGGTGCCCCGGCCGAGGGGCGGGGGGGGGCGCCTTTGATCTTAACTGTTGTTTTGTCCTCCGTTGCGCCACAGGTCTGGTTTAAAAACCGCCGTGCCAAATGGAGGCGGCAGAAGCGGTCCTCGTCGGAGGAGTCGGAAAACGCCGAGAAGTGGAACAAGACGTCGTCAAAGGCGTCGCCCGAGAAGAGGGAAGAGGAAGGTAAAAGCGATTTGGACTCGGACAGCTGACGGCCTCGGGCCGGCCGTGGCTCTTGACTCACTCGAAGGACTTGCACAGACAGACGATGCTACTTTCTTGCACACGCGCTGCCTTGCGGGAGGGGGCCGAGAAAGAGGAACGAGGAGCTGTAAATAGTGTACAGCCGGGAGGGTTGGCGCCGGGGGTCGAGCCCCGAAGTCCGAGGCCGCCAGCCTGGCTCCCCACCGTAGTATTTATAGTTAAGTTAACGGTGACGATACAATAAAGTGATGGCGATGTAGTCGGGCCACATTCTGTATTTCATACCCACCGCCCCCCACCCCCCCATCTGAGGCCCGGAAAAGAAATCTACGTAGTCTGTAGCTTCAAAAGGAAAAATTGGGTGGCTCTGGCCTGTTCGGGGGAGGAGGGAAAGAAAGAAAGAAAGAAAGAAACGAAACTCTGGATATGAAACAGTCACAGGACGGGCATCTCGGTTTAAAATCCCTTTCGTCTCTAGGTCTCTAGGAAGGGGTGGAGAGGGGCTCTGTCCTCGAGAGGGGACAGCATGGGGTCCCAGCTCCCCCTCGCCCTTGCATGGGGAGAACCAGGACCCTCTTCCTTCTCGCCGCCTAGGGAAGCCCGAGCAGGAAAGCAGGATCCGCCTGGAGCTGGGAGATCCCAGGAGTCTCTCCAGCGCAGGCTCATCTGCCCCTGTTCCCACGAAATCCCAGGCCTGAGGGTGGCATTGGGTGGCGGGCACGCCTCTTTCCAGACACTTTTATGGATCTCTCCTGGCCGCTCCTGCGCTCCCCTTCTTCCCGGCCCCGTTTCCGCCCTTCGACCCTTTTTGGCATGTCCTCCGCCTGGCGCGTCTCCAGCTGCAGGCCCCCAGAGTCCGGTGGGGCCCCCGCCGGTGCTGGGCCCATGGCGCTTTAGCCCAGGTATTTGGGAGTGGCCACAGATACCTGCCCTGAGTTCTGTTGGCCAGTCGGGTATGAGGCCGAGGCCGAGGCGGTGCTGATGCCTTTGGTTTCCTCCTGCCCCGCCGGAGAGTCTCCTTTCTGCATGAGATGGGGGCCTCTGCTGCCAGTGCGCGCGGGTCAGCAGCCTGGGAAGGACTGGAGAAGCCAGGAAGCTTCCCCGGGGCCGGTTGAGCACTTGGGCCAGGGATGAGGACCAGAACGTGCATGGTGTATGGCTCCCAGACCATGGGGCCCGGGTGGGGAGTAGAGGCCAAGGGCCAGCAGGATTGGGTTTGAATGCTTCCACTTTATTGATTGTTACAACCAATCCATTTTATAGATAAGAAGCCAAGGCTCAGAGCTTCCCGGCTTGGCCGATGTGTGTGCTGTCCAGGGAGCAATGGACTTCTGCCTCTTTTTCGGCTGCCTGCCTCCAGTATTTAGTGCAAGGTCCCTCCTGGGTGAGGCTGTGCATCCTGGCTGTGGAACTGCTGGGCAGAATAGCCTTTCCCAAGAGGCGGTATTTTTCTTAAAGCTTTTTTTTTTTTTTTTTTTTTTTTATGTTTTAAAAGGTAAAAGTGACTTCTGGAGCAGGTAAAAAGACAGTTCTGAAATACGGGTGACTCCCTGTTCCCACCTTTTTAATAAGGAGGATCCCTAGATGGAAGTAGGAGACGGCCAGGTCTGCCTCAAGGGTCAAGATTGCCTTGGTTCATGTGTGACCTTGAGCAAATTACGGAACCCCTTGCTGTTATGGGCTGTAAAATGGGCACTATAATGTCTGCTCCCCAGGGCTGCTGTGGACATTCAAGGCAAGGACTCTTGTGGGATAATAGCTCCCATGGGGGAAATCATTCAACATGGCTACTTATTTTTTTTTAAATACATACTATTATGATTTATATTGTATCAGACCCAGAACTTCAGGATATTGTACATTTTCTCATTTTACCTTTCAAGAATTCCGCGATGGGGAGTTTTCACTGGTTTACTGTTGAGTATGTTAAGGATCAGAAAAGTTAAATACTTCAGCAACACTCAGTTTTAGAAAACAATCATCTTCGCACAAGTGAGTCTTAATACTATAATTGGACGTGTTTCCACTAATACCAGTTCTGGTGAGAGATACTCAGAGACCATCGCGTTACTTTCAGATGAGTCTTTAGCCGGGGTTGTGCTGCCTTTTCCTGCGACCTTAGCCTACCACGGCCTGGTCTGGCCTGGCCTGAACCCCTCCCCCTTCCCTGCGGTCCCTAGGTGTTGGCCTCTGCCTCATAGGAGAAGGGTGAGCCTGCAGGGGATCTAGGAAGAGCTCTGACTTCTACCCTTCCTCCAGTGCTCCATTAGTCTAGAACATTCTAAAGTAGGACACAAGCAGGCAGCATTATTCCAGGCTGAGCCATCGGACATCCCGGAACTCCATCAACTCCTATATGTCTCTTTGTGCATGACTTGCCCTTGGACTCCCTATAAACAGGGATCTTCCTTTTTTTTTTTTTTTTTTTTTTAATGATCTGCATTTGTCTAGTCTGAGTGGTGTCCATGGGGGAGAGAGGGATTGCAGGATGGGTAGGGCCTCCGACATTCTTCCCCCAGGAACACCTGGGAAAAGCCAAGACAAGTAGGGGGGGGGGCGGGGGCGGGAGACCCAGAAGGCTGCTCTCAGCTCCTGGGGAAGACGCGAGGTGGCAAAAGAGAAACTGTCCCTATCTAGGTCCCCAGGCTGGAGGATCCTGCAAAGTACTTCAGCCTTGGCCCAGCTCACGGGAAACATAGTAAACTGTCTGGAGTGAAGAGGGCAGTGTCAGGATGGTCTGATTGTATGTAATCCACTCACCTTTCTGCATTCCCTGGTCAGCTGTGAGGCTCCAACCTTTGTCCTAGCCTGGCTGCTGGAGTCAGGGCGGGCCCGGTGGTGTTACAGGAGAGACGGTATCGGGCCTTGTAATTCTCTTTGGTGGGAATTCGGAACGCGGTGTGTGTGCATGTTGAAGGGGGCGGAGGCTATAGAGCAGGTAGCTGCCTGAGCAGCCTGTAGCCTGTACTACACCTTTGCCCCCAAGTTGAAGGCGTTCTCCCCATTTGACAGTTGAGCAAACTGAGGCACAGAGTTAACACAAAGGGTCAAAACGAGAACGGTCATCTCAAGGGACAAGGCTCTCAACGAATGGAAGTCAGGCTGCCTCGCAGAACTGAGTGTTCTTTTTGGTGGTGATACAGTCGTGTGTAAAAGTTCACCAACAGCAAATGATACAGGAGTGAATGCACTTGGCCCTGGGTGACATAGGAATTAATGTGCCCTAAAGTGCCAGGAAGATTCTGGGAAAGAAGAATGACAGTGAAAACCCTTCAGAGGAGTCTAGCACTTTCCACTGCAAAGCCCTTCCACATACATCTCTGGCGCTCGAGGGTGAGGACCACAGCCCATTTTGCAGATTGGAAGTAGAGGCCCAGAGAGACTAAATGCCTTGCCTGGGACATGTAGTAAATGGCACAGCCAGCCCCGAAAACCCCAGACCTGAGCACACTCTCCCACATACCTCTTGGGGGGAGTGGGGTGGGTAACAAGGTACGAGGTAATGGCTTCCAGCTGCCAAGGTCAGCTGGGCCAAAGGGTCCTGGCTGCAGGCGGCTGACAAGTAAGGAAAATGGAGGGGGGCGGGCGAGGAAGAAATGGGATTCTCAAGTTCTCGATAGGCTTCACGGAGGGTGTGTTCCCACTAGTTTGCAGTGTCTTAAGCCTCGTTTTAGTGGGTATGTGTGAAATGCAGGCTGGGTGGTTTCTTTTTCGCCTCTTTGTGTTGGGGGTGGGGGGATTGGAGGCTGGGAGGTGGAGGTCACGGGGTGCTCTTTCTGAATCGTATGGCATTTTAAGTGATGCAAGTAAAACTATTCACTCACCAAGACCCCCCACCAGATATCTCTGGTCAGGTTCCTCAAATTCATTTTTCCTTGTTCATTGCACACTGCAGGTGCTTTTTCCCTCCACCTTAAGGAAGACAGAACTCCAGCCTGGGGAGGGGAGGGTGACATGAGGGTGCATTTGGATGGGGCTGTGTGTTCTCCAAGTGGAGTGACCCGGGAGAGTTTCCTTCCTCCCCTGCACAATGGGCTTGAGTGGAGGATTAGAGATAATGTAAGAACCCAGTAGAGTGTCTGACACGTTTATTATTACGTGCTTTGAAAAAACACCCTCTAATTGGCGGGGTAATGCCCTGCATAAGTAGGTTGGAATTAGGAATGAAGGAATGCACCTTGTTTTTAATTGTTGCTGGTTTAGGAGTTTATGCGTGACCACAGGACACAGACTGTAACGAAATTAAATGTGACTGCCATGAATTTAAGACAAGGAAGCATCTGATAAGGCATAATAGGCTGTATTCTCCCTAAGAGGTTTAGGACAAGGAGATTTAGAGCGAGGGAGAGAACCTGGCCTGGGTTTGGATTCAGTTTCCAAGTTTTATGAAATGCCCTTGAAGTTTTCCAAAAGTAAAACGAAAACAAAATGCAAGCCGCCTGTGCAGAGCTCCTTGAAAGTTCTGGAAGAAATAGATCCAGTTGGGTCTTTTGGTTGTGGAGACTTCTTACATGTTGGGGGGACATGATGTGTCCCCTAGGCCTGTCCCCAGAGCCATGTGACAACATAAAGGACCTCTTGCTTAGTTTTAAATTGGTGGGGGAGGGGGAGGGGAAGTGCCATCGTCTTTACAATCCAAATGACCCACGAAACGAACAGGATGGATTATGTCATGTTGTGGTATTTTTAAGTGGGTCTATAATTTTTGGATCCCAGCAGCCCTCCTTTGTTCTCAAGTGTCCAGCCCTGTGGAGCATCAGTGGAGAGAGATCTTCAGAATCTCCTCTCCCTTCCAAGTTCTTTCCACTCATACCTTCTGTTTTCCTAATTCTGAGTCCTAATTCAGACTCCCCTGGAGTCTGGCTGACCAAGTCAAGCCCCTGGGTCCAGCTGAGGGAGCTGTTTTCTCAAGCGTTTGTCTTCCCTCCTTAGCCTGAGCTGATTAGGAGAAGCTCTTATTAGTGAGATAATTCTAGCTGCGATGGACAGAGTTCAGAAGTGTCTGTGTCATTGCCTCCCTGATGTGCCAGGTGTATAGTGCTGAGCCCAGGAAGTGCTTCCGCCCTGTGGCTTTATTATCGGGGAGGCTGATCACAGAAAATGCCAACGCAGGTTAAGGAGACAAGTTCTCTTTGTTAACTGAG